TATCTTTTAATGAAGGAAATTATATGTCCTAGGGAAACAATGGGGGTACAGAGAACTCAGTGGAATGGAAACAAGCTCAAGATTCTAACAAATGTACTATGTAATCCTAAACATGTTTACTTAAAAGTAAGTCACAGTGAGTTCAATGGACTTTACTTCCAGGTAAGTGACTGGAGGAAACGTACTTAGAGCTGTAATCTCTCTTAACCACCCTGAAGATAGTTTCTTTATCAAATTTGCGGATGACACAAAATTGACTGGAATAGCTAATACTCTGTAAGGCAGAAACAAGATTCAAGGTGACATTAATTGGTTGGAGAGCTGGGCTGAAAACAACAGAATGAAATTCAGAAGGGACAAATGCCAAGGTGCAACTAGGAAAAAGAAACCAAATGCACAGGTACAAGATGGGAAATACTTGGCTCAACAATACTGCAAGAGAGAAGGGTCTTGGAATTCTTGTAGAATAACAGCTGAACACGAGTCGACAATGTGATATGGCTGCAAAAAGGGCAGATGCTGTTTTGTGCTGCATTATCAGAAGTATCACCTCCAAATCATGTGAAGTACTAGTTCCCCTTTCCTCAGCACTGGTTAGGCCTCATTTGGAGTCCTGGGTCCAGTTCTGGGCATCCCAGTTTAAGAAAGACACAGACAAGCTGGAAAGGGTTCAGGGGAGGGCAGCAGGGATGATCCAAGGACTGGAAGCAAAGCCCTGTGAGGAGGGATTGGAAGAACTGGGCCTGTTCAGGCTTGAAAGGAGAAGACTGAGGGGGGAAAGGCTGTCACAAAGAGGAAGGCCAGGATCGCTTCCTGATCATCTCAGAGAGTAGGACACGGAGCAAAGGGCTCAAGTTACAGGAAAACAGATTCCGTCTGAACATCAGGAAGAACTTCCTGATTGTTAGAGCAGTTGGACAATGGAGCCATTTGCCAAGGGAAGTTGTGGGCTCTCCCACACTAGAGGCCTTCAAGGTACAACTGGACAGCCATCTAAGAGAGATGGTTTAACTTGGAGTCCTGCAAAAAGCAGGGCATTGGACCTGATGGCCTTCTTGGTCCCTTCTACTATTCTATGATTCTATGATCAAGAAGGAAAGCTGTGGATTGGTAACTTTCGTAATTTAAAAACAGTTAAGACAAAGGTTCATTCTGGTTCATGAGAAATGAGCTGAAATCCACAGCTGGGCAATACCTTTCTCAGGAATGTTGTTGGTCCTGATAAAGGACTCTCACGATGCCTTTTGGGACTTTAAGAGCTGTACAATGAGGGGGTTGCTAAAAATGTAACATTGGAATGATCGTAGGATTTGCCTAAGTTTGGAGCTGTAAAAAAGGGGGGTCTAGAATCCCAGGAACTACCAAAACACAAGTATTTCCAATAAAATGAAGAACTCCGGGGTCAAAGAGAAACAAAACAACATTCTCCGGCCCTGAGGCTTGTTGATGATTGGAAAGGGGGGGCGCAGTGAGTGAGGATTTACTCCAAGGTAAACCACCCCATGTTCAGTGGGGGTTGCTCCCAAGTAACCGTGGCGCAGGGGCTATTGCAGTCTGTAACACGTCCCTATACTCCGCCTTGGCCATGTGCGATGCTTAGTTTGCGGTTAATGGATAAATGTGCCCTACTTGTCTTTGCCGGTCCATCGGAGGCCCTCTGGATTTGGGCCTGAAAGATTGAGGAGAAATGTGGTTGCATGAAGGCCGAGTTGTAAACAAGCACCATTCCGGAAATTGCACAGTTCTGTCCTGAAAGCAAGGCAGAGGTTAATTACCTCGCCTTTCACGAAATCAAGTCACAGTCACTCTTGCTAATTATGTACATCCATTTGCATTTGTAAATAACTGTAGCTCGCGGGTGAGATCATGGTTATGCCCTGCAAAAAACCAAACAAGACCATCAATAGACCTCTCCACCACCGTCCTTTCCACCTCTGGCTTAGCAATATGCTGCGAACTAGTGCAGCAAAGGAGAAGGAAGCTCCCAGCTTTGCAGTTACAGGTTCTGGGTGCAAACATGAAGAACTAGAATGGAAATGCCTATTTCCCTTGAAAAATCAAATTGTGGCCTTTAGATAAAACATATCTAAGGAAAAACTGTGGCATGGTGTACTTATTAAAACACATTTATCTCAAAACCCTTTGCAACAGTTTTTGGCGTTTTTGAAGAACTGCTGCAGCAATGCTAGATTCCCCAGATGTAAAAGCAAGAGGCATGCAGTCAAGCCTAACTTTTACACAGAGCTTGAGGGTTTGGAAAGAAGAGGTGTCTCTCGGACCCTTTATTGTACCTAGTTAGTAGATTTGATGTTGGACTACGACTTTTATCATCTATGGTAAGTCAGCTGTGCTGGCTCTCACTGACAGGATCTGCTATCAAACAGCAGGTAAGCTGCAGGGTGCCCACCTTGGTTGAACAGGTTAAATATGTAAGAAAAGCAAGCAAGCTAAAGCAACAGATTCAAAGCAAAACCAGGTTTGCCTTAAAGTTTACCCAAGAAACTTCTGCCCAGCACACTCCAGCTACTTCACCTGAACTATCCTATTCCATTCTTTTCTAACCAACCTGGAATATCTAAGAGCACAGATGTTAAGAATGTTTTTACCATAGTCCATTTGTCCATTAGAATCTGTCAACTCACATTAACCAACAAGTAGACCTCACAGAAGCACAGAATAGTAAAGTTGGAAGGGGCCAAGAATGCCATTGAGTCCAACCCCCTGCTGTTGCAGGACACCAAATTACACCATCTCACTCAGAGAGCTGTCCAGTTTCATCCTGAATGACTCTGGTGGGAGAGCCCACCACCTCTCCAGGTGGCTGGTTCCACCGTTGTATTGTTCTGACAGTGAGCAAGGAAGCTTCTCCTGATGTCCAGCCTGAATCTGGGTTGTCACAACTTGAACTGATTATTCCATGTCCTACACTCTGGTATCAGCAAGAAGAGATCTTGACCTTCCTCTTTGTGGCAGCCTTTGAGGTACTTCTAGAGCGAGATCATGTCCCCCTCAGTCTTTTCTTCTCCGAACATGCCCAGTTCTCTCAGTCTCTCCTCACAGGGCACTGTTTCCAGTCCCTGGATCCTTTTTGTTGCCCTCCGCTGGACCTTTCTAGTTTTCCTGCATCTTTCTTCAATCTTGGTGACCAGAACTGGACACAAAGGCTACTCTGCATCTTAGTGCAGTGTAACTAATAGTTATATGGAAATGCATCTTCCAGCTACCATAAATAATGCCCTTGGATTTTTCAGTCTAGGACGTTTCTTATGCCTGGCCTGGCTGCAGCCATCCTGCAAACACGGATCCCCCCACTTCCCAAGTCGGCTCTTGTGAAATCAAGCAAGATGGTCCCTTCATCACCTTCCAGAACTGTTGCACTTCTCTTGTGTCTCTTGAGGTGAACGTTCATGGATTTTCTTCATTACATTTTCCTCCACAGCTGTATGAATTTCCATTTCGCCAGCACAAGTTTCCTCCAAGCATGTGTTAAGGTTATCAGAACAAACAGCATATATTAGAAACATATCTAAGTAATTCATAGAAGCTTCACCAAGACGAAGAGCATTGCATCTTTTTTCTTACTGCCAAAAATTAAGGAAAAACGGGAATAACTGCATAACACCTTCGGATATTGCATCCAATGTTAGTCCAACTTACAGTTGCTGTTGTTTAGTCGCAAAGTCATGTCCAGCCCATCACGACCCCATGGACAACATTCGTCCAGGCTCTCCTGTCCTCCACCATCCCTCGGAGTCCACCCAAGCCCACACCCACTGCCCCTTCATGGATCACTGCATTGCCATGGCGAAGGGACTTGTGTAGCACAATGCAGCTATGAGTTATGCTGTGTTGGGGCACCCAAGATGGACAAGTCATACTGGAAAGCTGACAAAAGGTGACTCACTGGAGAAGGAAATGGCAACCCCCTCCAGTACCCTTGCCATGAAAACCCCATGGACAGTCCCAACTTAGAGTAGACCCACCCAAATGAATGAGAAAAATTAACATTGGATACAATTATTTGTGTCTCCTTGGCTTAGAAGCACCCCTAGACTTTTGATATCTGGGCTGCGATCGAAGTATTTTCTGCAAAATTGGAGGCAAACCACTGTGCTTCTCAGACATATTCACATTTTATTGGCAATGGGGACACCTTCTCCTTGCAAACTGTGGGGAAGCCCTGTTGCCGGGTAGCTGCTTTCAGGGCTCTGGGAAGGGACACATGGTCGTCTTGCAGGATTCCCCTGCACCAGCTGAATGTGGGGTGACTGCACTTGAGTCGAGTACAGCTGCTGCAGATACATCTCCAGAACCAGTCCAGCAAGAGGCATAGCCTTTAAGGAACAGTTCAGACCTTCTTTCCAAGTCACAACTCGATAGCAGAAGGACCTCCTGCTCCTGAAAACTGGCCAAGCAAGGCCGCCACCTTATTCATCCGCTTTATATCCTCCTTTTTTCTTACAGTGAACTCAACGCGACCTGCATCGTCCTCCTCCTCAAGCAGATGCATGACACTCCAGAAAGCTCCGGTGGGCTCTGCCCAAAGGGATATCCCAGGCCAGCAGCCCATGCATGTCCCGTCCATGCCTCAGAGGAAGAGCCACAAGCGGAACACTGATCCGCTTGGGTTCATGTTTTTGGGATGGCTGGCAGATGCCAGGGACTTTGAACGTGCAAGAAGATGGCAAGGCAGGGCTTCTTCTCTGCATCCCGTCTACCAGGGTATACCGCCCCTGGACCTGGAGGATCGACTCAGCCTGAACGGCTGAGCAGGCGCCGGCCCGGCCCCCCAGGCTCTCCCCGAGCGCTCCTGCAAGGGCTGCGTTGCCGGCTCCGCGGATGGGGCGGCTCCTCAGCCGGCCCGGCCCAGCCCAGAGACGGGGCCGCGCGAGCCTCCCGCGCACCCGCGCCCGGCGCCGCAGGAAGAGGAAGGCGTGACCCGCGCCTGTTCCCGGTTCGCCCCGCGCTCTGACGCCGAGCCGTGCGCAAAGCAGCGCCGCGCAGCGCAGCCACGTTGACAAGGCAGGGCGAGCCGCCTTCGCCGCCGCCGCCCGCGCTGCTACCGGAGGAGCGGCGCCAGCCCTGTCCGCGGGCAGCCCGGGGCAAGCATGTCTTCGCCGCCCAAGGACAAGGCGGAGACCCGCGCTGGACACCCGCCCGCCGGTACCGCCGCTCGCCCGCCCGCGCCTCCTTCGCTCGCCCGCTCGCTCGCTCGCGCGCGGGCATCTCTCGGGGAGCTTCGCGGGGGAGGGGGGAAGTTTGCAGAAAAACCCGCCCCGGGGATTTGCGCGCGCTTCGGAGCCGCGGGTGGGCAGCCACGGGCAGGTGGGGCGACCGCAGCCTGTCTGCACGCTTGCAACTTCGCATGCCAGGCGCGCTAGGGAGGCGGGCGGCGGGTTCTTCCAAAGAGCGATCCTGCTCGCGCTTACCTGGGAGTAAGCGCCCTTGAATCGAGTGGGGCTTGCTTTCCAGGAAACCCGCGTCGCGTTTGGCTGCAATCAGTGCCCGGTTGGTGGGGCTGGGGAGGTCTGATTGAACCCGGGGGCCTTACTCCCAGGTAAACGTGTCGCTGATCGGGCTGTGCGGACGTGCGGCGCTGCCCAGGGCGCGTATGTGCGCCGAAAGTACCCTGCCGCCGTACTTTCCAACAATAAAAGTCTTTCTCGGGCTGATTTACGGACTTGCAAAAAGCGGTGAATGGACATATGGAAACTTTTAGTGAGTAGCGGTGCCCATCCCCCTTCCCCGCCCTTCTCTGGCTGGCTTGTTGTTAAAGCCAGCCATTCGGCGTTGCCAACTCGTTTGCAAGGAAGCAGATCCCCCAAGTATCTGGGGAAAAGCCCGGCGAAGGCCACGACACGTGTCCTGCGGCTAGGATGGTGTCCGAAGGGATCATAGTCCGACTCACTTTTTCTACCCCAGAGAAATATTGCAACATAACCAGCTGCTAGAGTTGCCCGGTGCACACTTTTTGCAATAGTACTGTTTACTTCCGCAACATCAGATGTTAGCATGTTTTATTTATGTTTCAATTTCACCTCCTGATCCTATGCATATTTTACTTGGAGATTACTCTGCTTTCTTACAGTGAGAGCGACTACCAAGTTAGCTTAGCACGCGTAAGATGGCAGCCCGTGTGTTGGGTGCGCTCAAAAGTCAGGATCCCTGGGTGCTTTTCTCCACGTAGGCTGCAGTTGTATGTATAGTTAAACATAGGAAGTCGGAGTTGTAGGATTTTTTCCCTCTCTCAAGCATGCAGTGGGCCGTGCAACTTAGTTTCATTCTCTGCAGGTCCGAGCACTTAAAGCGACATCCAGAAACAAACAATAGAATAAAAACTCACCACACTTTTAAAATTAAAAACAAAACCGGAATGTAACAGATTCTTACTGATTGTTACGCTCTTGTTATATTCACTTTTGAAGTAACTTTTTTCTTTCTTAAATCACTTAAAAACAAACAACTTTCATAACATACACAAAAAGATTGTGCAATACAAATGAGAGAAAAAGAAGAAAATCTTTTCTTTCGAAACAATTAAAACTATACAATAACAAAAACAGTGCATCCCTCTGCGGGGACCGTTGGCTGGTGTTAAATTGTTCGTTCTCTCAGGGGGACCCGTCCCCCTTCCAAAGTTGCTTTGAATCTCGCAAAGGTTCAGAGGCTTCCCTTTCATTAATACATACACAATCAAGCGCCCAACCTGCATTAGCAACAGAAGTAGGAGGTTTCTCTGCCTAATGTTTCTGTCAAACTATATAGCCACGGATCAAAATGCAGCTCTGATTCACTCTTGCTGAACTCTTTATCAAGCCCTTGCAATCCTTTTTATTTTCAGAAAGCAGTGAAAAATGAGCTGCAATTTCGTGTGTGCATGTGTAATTGACTTTCCTGCCTCTTCCTGGAATATATTGATCACTTGCACTCAGTTCAGTTCTTAATGTACTTTGCTCTTCTCCCACCCTTTGTCTGTTACTAATCTGCATGAGCTGCCTTGCCTCTAGTTGGCTGGTGTTTTAAGTGCATGCCAAAACCTATGCTGGAAGTCTGGAAGTTCTTCTTTCTTGGAAGTATTTATCATAAAGGGAGGCCCGGGATCTAGGAATTGCTCTTTAAATTTCTTTTCTTTTTCTTTCATTGTTAATGGGTTATAAATTCTTGGACAGCTGTATACTCATGGATTAATTCCTCATCTGCTTTATACAATGTCAACACTTGTAGTGTATTAATAATAATCAGAACAATATCTTGTGCAAAGTGTAGGCTTCACTTCAAGTTCTTTGGGAAGAGGAAGTGAAGAAACAAGTATATTGGTGCTCCTGCTTATGTTCTCAGAAATCGGGCAGTAGCTGACTTCTTGGACTCACTGACGACACATGATCGGTTCATTATTGATTGCGCAAAGGCCTCCCATGGGCACCGTAGAATCTGCAGAATCTTGCACTGACCTCCATAAAGCTCACCAATTCCTGCCCCTTTGAAAAATGTGTATTTAATAGAAGCATCTTGGAAAGCATTGGGCGGGGAAACATCTTCCTGTTTTTGAAACCACTGCTGATCAGCTGTTCAGTGGGGAGGAAGAGAAAGAGAAAGTTTCTTCTGGAGCCCCACTTAGCTTTTGGCCCATCCACTTTTGGCCTTTGCTTTCTCTCACTGCCAGCCTCTAGACACCGCTGTTACTACTTCTCCCCTTTCTTCATGGCTGGGTTCTAGTCCCTGCTCAGCCATGGAGCCAACTGGGTGACTTTGGGCCAGTCACAGACTCTCAGCCCAACCTACCTCACAGGGTTTTTGTTGTGGAGATAAGATCGAAAGGAGGTGGAGAATGAAGTAAGCCACTTTGCATGAAGAAAGTATGATATAAATCAAATAAAAATATTTCCTCATGGCTCACTCTCTTCCCCCCTCCCCCAGCCTTGGTCTGTCTCTGCTACTTACACCTTTTCTAGATGCTGCTTCACAAATTCCCCCTACTGCTTTAGTTCGCTGTTTGTTTAACCCTGCTCTTCCACCTTGCATATTTCCATCTCTGCTACTGATCTGTAGCTCCGGTTTGCACACAACAAATCATGATTAATAAACTGGATTGTTCGGGATTATGCAGGAGTGAGCATGCTGGTTACTGATAGCACCTGGTCTGCTGAACAGCCCAGGAATAGGCCATCTCCGGAATGTTGACTGTTACATCTGAACCCAGAATGCTGGGTTGTTGATGGAGAACCAGTCCAGAGTTTGAACCCGTGGCTTGCTCTGGAATGAGAATTCCTTGCACGTTGTCTGCTGCAGCTCTGGTTGAGCTGTCAGGACCCAGCTTGTCCTCAAACAGCCCATCGTTTTTTGTTTTTGTTTTTTTCGCTTGTGTGAACCAAGTAAGCAGCTCAGGATCACTTCACAGTGGCAGCTTGCATGTTCACCCTCCAAATCCTGCTAGAGGTTGGAGCTACTCAGCTTCCATTCAGCAGAAGTCAAAGGGATGTGCAGAGGAAAAATCCATTTGGCTCCACAAGTGGGGTGCACGCAAGGTTGTTTTCCCGTTCAGTTACTAGAAAGTGTTGGTAAGCTGCTCACTGCCATGTTATGTAGTTCTAGACTGAGGAGGACAGGATTTCTTCCAGTAAAATAATTTTTAATAGTTTTTGACCCATGCTTTACCGCAGATGTGTCGAATGCATGTTTACTCATAAGACTGGCTTATGCTTAAGACAGAGCAAAACCTTTCTTGCATGTGGCAGATGCAACAGAGAGTAAGACCCAGTGCACAAGATGCATGCTTCCCACTGCTTTTACACACACACACATGCGCACAGAGTCCCCCAAAGTGATGACTTTGTGGCTTTGCAGTGCATTTAGGCTCAATTTAACAGAACATTAGGTTGGCTTAGGATCCATTTGATTTCAGTGGGATTTCTGTGCTCATATTTGGGCAGTTTATGCTGGTGTTCATCTGGAAAGAGAAAACATAATAAGTGTCTTGAATAGTATTTCCCATCAAGTCAGGAGAGGAATGTGAGGCTATTAACATTCTCTTCTTAATGGGCATCCATTACAATTTTAAGTGCCTGTAGATGGAGAATCACAGTTCCCTCCAGTTTAGAAAAAATGTACGTGCAAAATAGTTCAAAAACAGCCCAGAGGAGAATGATGTTTCTGCTGCCCTGGTAAACAAGATACTGATCTCTAAGTTATTTGCAAAAGCAGAAGGAAAGTTTCTCATGTGAGGTCAACACCTGTATAAAGAGGGCTGTTGGATTTACGTATCTCCAGTGTAGAGCATTTCACAGGATCTTTTGAGTTCTTACATAATATCTTTGAAACAGATCAATGTTATTTCCATATAATGGATCAAGTAATGAGGTTTAAGAAGAATTACTTGCCTATGATCTAGGTAGTTCTAAATCATCACCATCATTTTTATACCACCAAATAGCAGACAGTCTTGCAAGAGTTCTGAGACTGTGGTAATTGAACTCACTTAAGTTAAAATGTGTGCAATTTTTTTAATGAACTGCAAAATGACTGTTGTTCCTTCCTACTTTTGGGAGGCTGCTCCAAATATAATTACTGTTGAAAGAAATAAGATAGTTCTGGATCTTTGGAGAGAAAGTGGACTTACAGATACTGCTATGAAGAATGATACATATTGGGATATTCCACTGACTTTCAACAGCAGAATTCCCCTGCTCCTGGTAATGTAGTATTTCACAAGCACACGTCAACTTCCATTTCCAGTTATTGAATTGTTCCCCACAAACCCTGGGATATTAATTTCTAGATTTAAAAAGATTGTGAGTTTTCATCCTCAATCCAGGCAATGTTATTGTAAACTAAAGTACAGTTTACAGGCTTGGTGGGAAAACTTTGTATCCAACATGGATTTTTAGGTGTCTTAATTTATTTCACAAGGAAGCATTTTCCCCACAAATAGCTTTAAGAACTTGATTTCTCCTAAACTGGGTAGCCACTGTACCTGTCTGTTAAACTCATTGTAGCAATTTGACTCAGTTGGAGTAAAGCTAAGTAGAGCTGAAAGTCTGAATTTCATTTCTGGAAACTGTGCAGAAATAAAGAAAGATAACAGCCTGGTTGTGAAAGAAATCTTTTTGTTTTGGTGCTCTTTATAGGAAGCTTGGCATTAGACTCAGTGGTTCAACTGAAAGATTGGAGGGCATGTAAGGAATGGTTACTTAGATGCTTCTGCTATTGGAACATAACTTTTAGGAAGTGAAAGTTGTTATCTCTATTTTGTATTGCTCTGTGGAAGCACAGTGATGGTTATTTTAGCATCCCTCGTGTATAGTATTTTCATGTTCCTGAACAACAGAATTATATTTCATCGTGATATGTGTCACATTCAGATAATCAGAAGCATGGATTAAAATGGGTGGCTTAAAACACTTGTTCAGAGTAGCAACTCTCTCCATGTTTGTTGGTTTATTTATCTCATTTCTATACAACAGTTCTTAAACACAGTACAATCAAATGCCATAAAAGTTTTTTTCAAATTATAAACATTTTAAACAGAAGAATAGCTAAAAATACAATGAGGAATAGCCCTGTAAGAAATGACTGAGATCAGTAATCCCCCCAAGCCCCTGGATATCCCAGGACAACTGAAAAGGCTTGGCATAAAGAGCAGTCTTAACCTGGCATGGAAGAGATGTCAGGATTGGTGCAGGTGGACCTCACTGGAGAGGTCCTTCCATAGATGTGGGGCAGCAGAGGGAAAGCTCCCCCTCTTGTTGCTGCCCTACAAGCCTTGCTTGGAGTTACCACTTGGAGGAAGGCCCGGGATGTTGAGTATAGTGTTTCCATGGACTTCAGCTGGGAGAGGCAAACATTGCTCATCGTCAGCTTTGTGCACTTTATGAAGCAGCCCTGTAGTTGATTTAGCCTCTTTAATGGGGCCAGAAATCTGAATGAACGTAGAAATGAACATTTCAAGTGTGCTAGTATCATCTGTCTGTGATAACCGTAGATGCCTCTGGAAATTTGAGAAACTGCCATGGGCACCACCCTAAAATGGCTGCCCTGTGTGAGCATGGCCAGTCAAAAAGGGCAGACGGACAACCTGCCCAAAGATGTTCATGGGGCATTAAGATGGCAGCAGCCAGAGGCTCCCACTGTGCTTTGAAGTAATCCCATCTGCCAGTAAGGAATTCTATAAAACAAATGAACATACAAATTCAGAGGAGAAGGATGTCTTGATGAGTACCAAGGAAGAGATCTGGCAGCTCAACAGGCATGGCATTGCTTAGCCTTCATCTCTGGCGTAGACAGACTGGCCTGGTTCACACTCTGTGTAGCTAAAACAAGCCATGGCAGTTTGATTAGGCATGTGCCAGTGCACCATTTGCCTAATGACTGTGGTCCTGCCATCTATATCCAGGGAGAAACTACAATCAAATAACTCAGCAACAGTCCATGGTTTAAGCAGCGATTATTGCCCCAAGCCCAGGCAGAAGTCTGTCTTGGCTGTGCTACCTGATTCTGTTGAACTCTTAAGGATTGTATTTAGTCTTTGCACAAGGAAAGCATGTTCTAATGTTGTCATACGCTTTTGGTCTTTCCCTACCACCACCTGGCATATCTAACAGGCTTTCTCTCTCCTTCCCATTCCCTGCTTCTTGTTTGCACTGCAGTCAAAGCTGGCGGGATGCGAATTGTACAGAAACACGCACATGCTCCAGAGGCCAAAGAAGAAAAAGATAAGGACGAACAAGACTGGGAAAGTGGCACCAGGTGAGGGCTCTCCCATGATGTAAGAGATATGCTTACTTGCTTCCAGATAAGCCCTTTCATTTCAGACCATTTTAGTGATGGAGTGATTAACGCACTTTTGATAATCATTTCTGCTGGTCTGTGTGCTTATGAAGAACCTGGGCTGAATTGGAATACTGAGTAGAGTTGGAAGAAAAGAGGTAGAATTGTAGGTTTCCCAGGGACTGCCTTGGTATTAGGTGGTCATACCTTGGATCCACTGTTCTGCGGGTGGAAGTTTCCATCCACTTCTCCCACCTGCAGACCTTCTGGCACTGTCTCCAGTCTTCTCAGAGAGTCCCTCAAATGGAGAGTCCTTCTGTTCTGCAGTTTCCTGCCTGCTGGTGGAATGACACTGTTGGATCCAAGCTCATGTGTTTGACTGTTTTTTTCTTCTTTTTTCTGGCCGCCTCCTATTTTCTCTCTTGGGCAGTAGATTTACTCAAGTCAAGTGATTCAAGGAAGGATGAGGTGGGTTTGTTGACACGGTGAGAGTTTTCGGGAAAACTGTTAATTGAGTTGAGTGTTGATCCCGGAAAAGGCCAACCTTTTTTTTAAAGGGTGTAGAAATGGTTTGAAGGGAACCTAAATTGTTCTTTTATGAGTCTGGGCCTATTCGAGAGTATCTCAATGTAGACTTTAATGGAAAATTATGCAAGAAAGGAAGAAGTGAGACCAATAGCAGCTGATGAAAGTCTAGGTATTTTTCCCAGTTGTCTGGGCATGGAACTGATGAACACAGGAGAGACTCATTGCTATTTATCCAATGGAAGTTAATTTTTATTGGCTTCACTGGTTTGTTTAGGTAGCCCATTTGTGGCAACGCAGTCAGGAATAGGGGAAGAAAACTAAGTTACATGAAAATACTGTGCAAAGAATGACTGCATTGTAATTTGGATTCTAACAGAGTCTGAAGTGTTGTATATATAAAAGATGATGCAACTTGAGCAAAATAAAAGGTTATATGTGATTAAAGAGAAGGAAGGAAGTAGGCTTAATGCTTTCCCTTCTGCACTGTTAAGTTTAGCTAAGCATCCTATTATGAAAGGCCTAAAATAAAGAACACTTCTAGAGTCAACCAAGGGTCTGTGGTGGCTTGATCTTGATCCAGAAAATACATCTGTATGAAGACAGCTGCCTCTTCCCATTGTCTATTGCAGAATGCAAAATTTAGAGGAGTCCTGGCTTTGAAAGTGCTACCATAATCCTTCAGTACAATTGGCAAACATTCTTCAGCTTTATCAGTTGACATTTCCTAGTGTATAACAGAGGGAAAATTAGTACAAAAGGTGTGTGTTTAAATGCCTTTTAAAATATGTACTCAAGGCTGTGGGAGGAATTGTATTCTTCAGTAATTTGAGGAAAGTAAAAATTTACTGTGCTGAATTAGACCAAAGCCTTCTCTTTCTGATGGCGCTGAGTCCAAATGCAGCTCACAAAAAAATGATGGAAGTAGCCAAGCATTGTTTTTGTATTTAGCAGTAGAGTTGAGTCAGACACTACCTTGTCTTCTATATAAATAATTTCTAATTCTTCATGGAAAGCTGTGAATGCATATTTTAAGAAGGTAGCAAACAGTTTACTACAGAATCCCAAGTTTTAGTTGCCCCAACACAGCTATGCCGGTTGTGACATAAGCAGCACAAAATGTTGAGCTGGCTAAAGTCGGAGACCGGAAGCAATCCAGACCACAAACTAATAAGAAGTGGAGTAAAGGCGCTTTATCACATACTCGGGAACCCACCAGATTGATTAGTGGCGCTTAGCACCTCATAGAGTGGAGTCGCATGGCATGGCAACCCCTTTTGGGGAATCAGTCCCGGAGATTGTCCGGTTGTGCAAACCTGGACTGCTCCCTGCAAGATGGCTTGCTTGTTTGTGGGGAGGCAAGCGAGCTGCCTTACAAATCTGTGGCTTTCTGTAAAGGTGGTTGGACCCATGATGGGCTGTCATGTCTTCTGCATGCAGGTGCTTGGCCCCATCGTTCATTCAGGTTTACGGTGAGCAAACTGCTTGGCAAGAGTGGCAGAAGCCCTTTTGGCTGTCCCTGAGCCGCCACCAGGGACAGCTGCTCCGTCAGGTGCCCAGGTGGCTCTTAGTATCACTGTGACCCAGGGAGCCTTCAGATAGATCCTTCCTTGTTCTGTGACAGTCGTCAAGTGGAGCGCTGTCCTGAGAAAGCAGAGCTGTGAAGGATCTTTGCTCGTGAAAGAGCAGGGTACTTGGGAGAGCAAGGAGCATGAACCTGCCCCCTTTTTACAAGCACTGCTTGTGACAGTGCCAACAAAAAGCCTTTTCTCTTAAAAACTCTCTGCTAAATCTCCAATTTTTTGGGGCAGAGGAATGCATGATGAGTGACCCAGCGACTGTGAGTAGTGACTGTGAATACGTGCACTGAGCTTCCTTCCCTTCCCCTGTAAAGCATCACAGCTAGAAGGCCAAAAGTGACAGTCTAGCTAAAATGCAGAATGGAAGAAGCAGGGAAGTAGAGATCTTTACTGAACTTCCCCCTGTAATCTTCCACGTTCAGAAGCTCACAAGCAGTCGATAGGATTGGATGAAGGCAGGGTTTTGCATTGTATCCTAAAGTTAAATAGTTTTTTATAAGTTATTTTAGGAACCAAACAAATTTATTTATGTCCGTGAACAAGAAAGTTGTGTATTTATTGTAAGGTGTTTTTTCTTAGTATTTTAAGTGCGTGTTTTGTTAGTGAGACATATGCTGGTCTGCATTTTCTTGGGATAATTGTTTGCATTAAGTTCTTAGCTGATAGATAGGGGAGAGGCTTTAGTTGTTGAAGATGAGAACTGGATTGGCAATGATTCATATTTTCTCTTGGAAAGCACTGAAACAATGAGACGTGCTTTGGCTCTGTTCGTACATATCTTAAACACTGGGGAAGGCAAGGTAGATGAACATCAATGACTTTCTTAAAAAATTAAAAAAACAGATTTTCAGATTTGTTTTAAATTTAAATTGGATTTTTGAAATAAAATGCTTTTGAGGAAAAATATATCTAAAGTTAGTTTTCTATTTAAGATACATTATAATCCAAAGGTTATTCATCATGAAAGAAGGATTCGTTTTTAGTTATGTAGCATGAACCTGTATATTCATGCAATGTTTAAATGTTTTGATAAACGAATTCCATTAATCCAGTCACGGTGTCATGCTTTTCCAGAGTTTCTTGTAAGATTGGGCAATTTTTCCATCTAGAAGATATGATCACAGATGCTTGGTTTTACAGTTCCCAAACTGTGAATATGTGTCTGCAGAAATCACGTGCCACTTCTTCACAGCAAAAATGTTATAACATAAACATACGGAATTGAGGAAAAGACATTAACCCCACTGTTCCTTTGCAAATCTATGTATGCAGAACCAGCCCCTTACCTTTTAAGTGCTAAGCTTCAAAATTTCACTGAACAGAAAAGTATTGTTGGGAAGCTAAGTGTCAGGAGGGAGGGGCAAGCAGGAAAATGAAAGTGAAACCTTTTTAGATGATCCTTTTGTGAATGGTCTGAGGTTCATCATATTAGTCTTTCCCTGGAGGAGAAAACGTGTACTGGCAGCGGGCTGTAAAAGAGACCCATTTTGGGAATATTTTCATGAAGTTTGTCTACCTATAGGTAAGGCAGGCATGTATGCAAATTCTGTAGAAGACCATGAGTTAAGTCTAGTCTTACTGACTAGTGATTTAAATCAAATCCACCCTGGTGGACGGTATTGCTGTGGGGAAAGAGGCTTGTCGTTCTCTCAAGGTACTCCTGATTTGCATATTGTGGTCTGGATTTTCCAGAGGTCCAATCCATACGACCTAGCTCCTCTGATCTTGAGCAGTAAAGTTACTGTGGATTGAACCTGCCTATGTATGTTGTTCTATATAAATAAAGGACCCATGCAGGTAATCTAACCCAGTCTCTTTCTGGGCATGCCAATTACCTGTATGCAAGTAACTTATTACATAGAGGAGTATTCATTGATGGGAGCCTCCATTTGCAACCCGAAGGAGTACAGCTCAGGTGCAATTTTACCCTGAGCTGAGAACTTGGTTGATGAGTCAGTGGGAATCAGCCAAGTGCTCACTCCTCACTCGCAGAGGATCTTGTGGGCTGCCAAAGCATTCAGGCGTTTAGCACAAGTGGTTTCTGTGTGCTAAACGTTTAGTAGGATTTGGAAGCTTAAAAAGGAATCCCACTTGAGTTGTTTTATTCCCTTTGATTTGGACGTGCTTCTCACAATATCCTGGGGTGGATCCAGTGCTTCAGCTGTGGTGTGGTGGTGAAGAGTATTTGAGACTCTGGTGATTTGGGCCGTCATCCTTGCAGAGAGCCGATGCGAATGTTGGTTAGAGTATTGGACTGGGGGCCTGGGAGATCCGGGTTCTAGTCCTTCAGCCATGGAGCTCACTGGGTGACTTTGGGCCAGTCACAGACTCTCAGCCCAGTCTCCCTCACAGGGTTGCTATTGTAAGAATAAAATTGAGAGGAGGAGGAGGAGATGTAAGCTGTGTTGAGTTCCTTGCAAGGAAAAAAGGCAGCAGATAGATAGATAGATAGATAGATAGATAGATAGATAGAACGGGTAATTTTCCTTCCCCCATATAGCTCTTGCGTATCCTCAAAATGTGCACCAGAGGGCTGGGAAATGGATTTTTGGGCCATCTACAGAGCTACGAGGGAATAAGGAAATGCCCTTGCAGCAGAGAGATACTAGTGCAGTGTTGCATCTAACCCACCAATGGCAGCCCTTCATTTCTTAGTGTTTCTAATACACACTATAAAATGGTTATCTTTAGGAGCCACTTTGTGTAATTGTCTCGCTCGTGGCCTGTGCTGCTTTGCATAAGTGCTTGACAGTGGTTTTGATTGGCAGTCGGATGTACACTGCTATTGCTTGGCCATGTCATATTTATTAAGATGAAGAACTTTAATTAAAACCTTAGATTAGGAATTCCTGAGAGGACAATATATCATTTTGC